CTGTTTTTACTTTGAGAATGAGAGAGTTTATTTTCTCTCTCAGAATATCTAAATCCAAGAAGAAAAAAAACCCCAAACAATAAGATACCTAACAAAACATGGTGATTGAATGACTGCCATTGTTGTTGTGTGTCATTAAATCATAACCTCACAGCTGACGCTCTGGTGGGTTTTCAGAGTCTGTAACTTGCAAAGAAGGAAATTGCCCTGTTTCCCCCCTAGCTGGTAGGTTAGTATTGCAACTTCTTACCTGCTAGAGCACCAGATAAATGAATATTAGTATTGTTATTTTCAGCTGAATTTGTTTTGTTTTTGCATTTTGATTTGCTCAAGGTGTATTTTCAGAGTTTTCACTTACATCATTTGCTTACAATTCAGCATTTGTTTTTACCTTCTGCCTAGTCCCCTTTGGGTTGTAAAGTTAGGATAGGGTGTAAAAGAAATACAGACTTCCTTGAGATTTAAGTATGAAAAGAGGGTGGTGCAGATTTAATTATAGAGAAAGATTGGCTGCTTAATTATTGTTACCTGCAGTGAATCCAGGTTGTCTTCTGCAGCTGTTACTATAAATAGACTTTCTATACCGAAATCTACCCCGCGGTAGTGCATTCCTGTTCAACCTCCTTGCTTAATTTAAATTACTAGTTTGAGATGGTTATTTTTGAAACCCTTCTCAGGTTAACTTCCCCCTTAATCCCTAAACTTTCTTCCATAATCTGCCAAATTATATGTAATGCTTTGCAACAAGAGTGTTTTTGACGTTGCTCAAGTCTGAGAATTTAGCATTTGATTTAAATGGTAATTTATTGTGACAAAAGTTGCATACTCACTCTGCTATTCCTGTGCAGTCTTACCATGAACTTTGCCATTGAACTAGGTATATCCTCTACTTCGCTTGTATCTCTGGAGAATGACAGGCCCTTTTATTGAGGTTGCTATTGTTAGATTAGATTTCCTTGAGATTTTAGTATGAAAAGAGGGCTATTCAGATGTAATTATAGTGAAAGATGGGCTTTTTTAAAATAGAGAAAATACCAGTCTTTCTACCATTTTAGATGTTAGAGAGCTCTGGTGGCCTACTGGTAGAAAGCTGCACTGCAATCTCAAAGGCAAGTAGTTCGAATCTACCAGCTACTCCATGGGAGAAGGATGTATATTCTCCACCTGTGAGATTTACTGCCTCTGAAAACCTGCTGGAGGGCCAGCTATGAGTTGATTTGGACTTGATGAAACAACAGCATTGTTAGGTTTTAGTGAGATCTTTGGACACCATGCTAGTTACGTTGTTGTTATGTGCCATTGAGTTGACTTTCACTCAGCAACCCTGTAAGCAACAAGATCTGAACATTGCCCTGTCCTGCACCATCCTCATGATTTCCGATATCCTTGAGCCCATTGTTACAGTCACTCTTCAGCATGGCAGGAAGCTGTGCTGCAATCCAGAAGGCACGTGGTTCAAAGCCACAAGCCACTCTATAGGAGAAGGATGGGCAATTTCCTCCTGTGTAATTAACTGCCTCTGAAAACCCACCAGAGGGTCAGCTGTGGGTTGGTTTCAACTTTGACAGCACATAATATGTCTATATTTGTTGTTGTTGTTGTGTGCCATCAAGGTGCTTGCGACTTTTGGTGACCCTATGTACAATAGCTCTGAACCCCGCTCTATCCTGAGCCAACCTTATCATCTCTGACACACCTACCCCATTACCCCAGTCACTGAGTCAATCCTTCTCATTGAGGGTCTTCCTCTCTTGCGCTGTCCCTTTACCCACCCAAGCTTGATATGCCTCTCCAAGGACTGGCCCCTCCTTGCAGCATGCCCAAAATATGTCAGATGAAGCTCCAAAGTTCTTGCCTCCAAGGAGCAGCTTGATTTCACCCTCTCCAGGTTGAACCTGTTTGTTCTCCTAGCAGTCCATGGTGTATTCAGTACTTTTCTCCAGCACCACAGCTCAAAGGCATCAACTCTCCTTCTGTCATCCCTAGTCATTGTCCAGCTCTCTGATGCATAGCAAGTAATTGTGAACACTGGGTTTTCATATAATCCTTAATAGGCATTTTGTTTTCTAACATTAATTGCCAACATTTAATTTCTAACATTAACACAAGAAAGCTAAGCCATTTATTTTTTTGTTATATAGGAATTGCTCAGGGAGCTCTGGTGGCTTAGTGGCAAGGAACTGTACTGTGATCCTGAAGGCAGGCAGTTCAAATCCACCAGATGCTATGCTGGAGAAGGAGGGGTAGTTTTCTCTTGTGCCAGTTGGATCTGATTTGATGGTACATAAAAATAAAATAAAAAAATGAAATCGCTCGGCTTGTGTTAAACACCTCCTTCCCTCAATTTCATTGTTTTTTTTAATTTTTATTTTTATTATATTATTTTTACGTGTACCGTCAAAATCAGATCTGACTGGTACAGGAGGAGATTGCCCCCTCCTTCTCCAGCAGAGCATCTGGTGTATTTGAACCACATACCTCTGGGATTGCAGTGCAGCGTCTTGCCACTAGGCCACCAGAGCTCCCTGAGCAATTTCTATATAACAAAAAAATAAATGGCTTAGTTTTCTTGTGTTAATGTTAGAAATTAAGTGTTGGCAATTAATGTTAGAAAACAAAATGCCTATTAATGATTATATGAACAATTTCATTGTTTTTATCTAGAGGAGAACATCGTGGCTTTATCCTGGTTTAACTGTTTTGACTTTTTGGGTCATGTTTTTTATCCGGTGAGGAGTTGATTAGATATTATAGTTAATTAATTAGACTAATCCATGGCAATTAATGTTAGAAAACAAAATGCCTATGAGTGATTATATGAAAATCCAATGTAACATCTAAGCCTGTGCTGAAATGAAAAAAAAAAAAAAAAAGATATAAAAAAACAGGCCTTTAAAATAAGTAGTAACATTCATGTGGGAGGAAAACACTCCAGGGAGGAAAACACTCATGTGGGAGGAAAAGGAAATAAAATACAGTCAGGTAAAGAATATTCTTATGAATTCATGCAATTTGTAGTAATAGTAAGGAACTACTTTTCCCTTGCTCTAATAAAATAGTTTGACTATGACTTACATTGTCTTTAAGTGATCTATAGGATATTCTGAACTAGATAGATGGGCAGGTACTTTAACGATAATGTAATGTACTAAGATTTAATCAACCCAACAAACCTTTATAAAATATGATTTTCCTCAGTAACTCCTTAACAAACTAAAAAATGTCCTCTCTACCTTCAGTATTGGAGGCATGAATATACTAGAGTGTTTGTTTATCTTGAAGTATTTTGCAATATCACTATTTTGAAGTTATATAAATGCTGATGTCTAAATTGGGCTATTCCCTAGAAGTGTATGAGTTTCGTTCCTCGTCCTGGTAGGTAACCTTAGTGAAAGTCACACACGTGCACACACTTTTTTCAGTTTCCTGTATGTGAGTATTTGAAAGAATGTATGTGTTTTGACAAAGATTACATTTGAAGCCTTGGATTTCCCATTCCACTGTTGAGTGGCTGCCTTACATACTGGCTCTGGGATAGAGTACTGCCTTTGTGATGTTTCTCTGTTTCTACGTGGTGGACTTGCACATTCAGCCAGGGGAAAACTGTACTCTTTGATCTGTTTATTGCATATTAATTTTATTTCACTCTTATATTGGTATGTCTTCTGGAAGGAGAATTAAGAACACTGAACCTACTCCTGGCAGCTTATATGGTATAGAAAGCCAGTGATTTATAAGGGGGCTATGTTTTTTCCTTGATAAATCAGTTTTGTAGGTGTGGAATAAAATTTTCCCTCTTAGAGATAATGTTATAATTGATGATGATTGAGTTTTTAAACATTTAATAGCTAGACACACAAGCAGGTGTGAATGGGAAGGTGAATGAGACCATACTCATCAATAAATACAGATTGGACAAGTAATGTGTGTATAAACTGCAAATATATCCGTGAATATAGTAGAGCATACAGGGGAGTCGTTGGATCTGGGGACTCAGGGCTGTAGTCCTGAGAGAACAACTAGGTCAGTTACCATAAGATACTCTACAGGTCCCCACTGGACCCTCATCATTTCCTTCACCTGCTCCCCCCACCGACCAAACTGTGCAGCTCCGCAACTGCATCCTGGCCCATCCTCACCCTTCTGCCCCCAACCCTCACCTCCTTGTACCCCCAATATGTTTTTCCCAATAAAAAAAATATTATAAAAAAAAAACATACTCCACAGAAGGAGTGTTTTATATTCTATTTAGGTGATTGGCAGTGGGGTTTTAAAACGTTTGTGAGTGGTCATAGGTTCAGCAGTAGGTTTCCTCATCTGGAGGAAAGAAGAATGTCACTCTGAGTTGAAACAGACTGGACAATTGTGGATTTGTCCTGTATAGTTATCCTAAGATAGGGCTAATGGTAATAATTCCTACCTCTTGAGTTTATGAGGATTAAAATAATTAAGGCCTGTAATAGTCTTGGTGTAGTTTCTGATAGCTGACAAGTGTGCAATGAATGAGAGCAGTGCCATTTTTAAACGTTACTTCTTGAATAAATGTGGTCTGAATTTTGTAATGAATGTGGTGGAATATCGTTGTGATAGAAGGTAGGTTCAAAGAGTCTGACATTGGGAGACAAGGGATGGTAGAAAGGGGTGGAGTGTGTTGGAGTTTTGAACTTCTGGTTTGGGGAAGAGGACAGGCTAAAGAAGAAAATGGAGACCGTGCCTCCTTAAATGCCTCTCTCTGTAGGTGGAATTTGCCTGGGAGAATGACCTGAGGGGAGGTTCATTTGTGTTGCCAAGTTGGCAGACGGGCTTCTGGTTGCTTTGCAGTAACTGTGGCCACGTCATTGGCTTATGGGGACGGGAGGTTATGACATTTCATAAGGCAGGTGAAGGCCACCTTGGGACTACCAGTGTTTCCTTTCTCCAGTGGTGATAAGAACACAGCATGAAATCATTTTGTTTACTTAAATTGACCTTTTTTCCTCTCTCTCCTTCAGGAGGAGACTATGGCCAAAATGGAGGTGAAAACATCACTTCTGGACAATATGATTGGAGTTGGAGATATGGTTCTTTTAGAACCTCTCAATGAGGAGAGCTTCATCAACAACCTCAAGCAGCGCTTTGACCATAATGAAATATATGTGAGTATACACTGAAGGTCACCTGTGGTGTTGATAGTTGACTTTGTGTTTTGGACCATTTTCTTCTTCAAGCTCTTCTCTTATTAAAACCCACAGATTTTTGTTTATACCCTCAGAAACCATTTTGAGTGTTTGATCTAAAGGGCCAGCTGTGCATGAGTATGCACTGGGCTGGAGGTATACTTAAAGCAAGCAGAGATCTTTAGTTTCTGCCTCTGAAGAATATGCAGAGAAGAAATTTCAAAGTTCATAGACATTTTCTTGGATGCCTTCATAAGAGTAGCAAAATCTAATTATTGAGAAAGGAGCCCTGGTGGTGTAACATGTGGGGCTACTAACATAAAATTCAGTGATTTGAATTTACCACCAGCCAGCCCCTCTGATAGAGAATGGGGGACAGTCTCCTTCTGTAAATATTTAACAACCGTGAGAACCTGCTGGAAGGTGGCAGTGAGTTGGAATTGATTTGATGACAATGGACTTGTTTATTTTTTTTATTAATTATTCATAAGCCATTGTTTAAAATGCAAGGCAGTGAACTGTCAAAAAGAACATGAACCCATTTGACGTTTGTAGTTTTTAGGGTCAGGAGTATATTACCAGGTGAAAATATGAGTCTGGTTTTTAGAGGTTTGAGAATGGCCATGTCATGTGTAAAAATGAAGATAAGCAAATACATTAGTAGTGGAGATTTTTATGTTATAAAAAGTTTTTATTTAAAAATGCATAGAATTCTTTAACTGTCAAGTTCCCTAGAACTTTAAAGAAGTAAATCTACTGCTGCTGAGTTGATTCTGACCCACGGTGACTCTCCATTAAGTTTCTGAAGCTATCCATCTTTGAAGGAGGAGACTGCCCATATTTCTGTCTTAGAGGAGCTAGTGGAGCTGCACAAATGAACTACAGCACCTCCAGGACTCTTTCATGTTCCTTAAGCGTATTTATAACATGAGTATACATACTTTTACATACAGCTTTTCATAAATTTTCATAAAGCACATGGATTTGCATTTGTGGAAATAAAGGTGTGTTCATTAAATGAAGAAAATGGGACAGTGATTCCTTGCTTCGGAGGCTGAGATGGAAAAGGTAGATAACAATAGAAATAGTTTGAATAGGTTTTACCTTGTGTCTGAGTTCTTTAACACTTCTCCTCCCAACGCTGTCTCAAGAAGAATTGTGCTATTGGCACATGCTTTATGTTTTTCTGTCTATTGATGTGAAAGCCAGGGGAGGAAATTGATACAAAGAAGAGTAGAAGATTGTGATTGATATAGGTAGAACCAGCTTTCAGGAACATTATTGTATCTTTAAACATTTTATACCACACTGTATTTAGGTCACATGTCCTTCCTGGGTAGCCAGCTGTGTTTCAGGAATAACTTCAGATAATTAATTTTTTGATGAAGCATTTATCATTAGCTAAGTGTTGACCTGTTCATCCTTCTTGATTTATATTGTTGGAAGTTGACAGTAATATATGTGATTGCTGCTTTTGGAAAATAAATTTATTGCTGGCTGCTAAACTGAGATGTAATTAAATTCAGAGATAGAGTTATTTTAAACATTGATCCAAATGGAAAAAGAGTCTACTAAATGCTCTTTCAAAGGAAGCAGTGGTATTGTTTGGCTTGGCAGTGATGCAGGGTTTCAGCTTCCCCTCTGGTCCAGTAGTTCAGTTTTCAGGTGGGAACGTTGAAGAGTGCTGCAGCCTTAATTCAAAGTATAATCTGATAATCAAATAAAGGGCCGGCTTTAACCATTGGCCTTTGAGATGAAGATAGGAGGACTCAGTTATATCTCAACTAACGTAACTGATCATTTTTCTTTTTGGCTCAGAGAGTACAATTCTCTGTTAGATGAATTGAAAAGAAGACGGAGAGTAGAACATTACATGCATTCAAATACCTGATTTGTTGTGACTACTGGAAAGAAAACAGTCCCTTTTTAACCAAATGCCAAATGTTAACATTCATGAGTCTTTAGCAGACTAAATGTCTGGGGCTTCAGTCCTACATAATTTTATTTATCAGACTATTTTAGACATGCCCTTTCAGTTATAAAACAAAAAAAGCAAAACTGTTTTGCTTCCAAATACTCGTATCAATTAACATTTTCCATCAGCTTTAGAACTACTATTTCTCTGAGTTGTATGTCTTCATTTTATAATTTTAAAACCTGTTGTGCTGGAGGATTGAAGGGTCTCTTAAGTGAAAACAAAACTAAACAACAACAGCAATGAAAACAACCCTAGGCTGTAAAATAATGTATACAGTATGATTTTAATTCTTTTTTTAAAGTGAAGAGTGGTGACTTTATGAACATGTATCTATATTTGTGAGGTGTTCCCCCCCCCCTTATAGTTAGGCATGTTTGGGTACCACAGTGGGATGGAATGTGGGGACAGGGGAAGATTACTCTTTTAGACTTCTGTATTACATGGTTCAGGGAGCTCTGGTGACTAGTGCCAAGGAGTTGTGCTGCCAACGCAAAGGCACGTGGTTCCAGTCCAGCAGCTGCTCCACAGGACAAAGATGGTCAATCTCCTCTTGTGCAATTAACTGCCTCTGAAAACCTGTTGGAGGGTCAGCCAAAACTGTGGACCCAGAGGTACATGGCAACAACATTGTCTGGTTCAATGAACCCTGGAGGGACCCTATCAAAAAGCGTGGTGGTTCGAACCTACGATCCACTTCCTCAGAGAAGATGGGGTAGTCTGCTGCCAAAAAGATTTACAGCCTTGGAAACCCTGTAGGACAGTTCGGCTCTGTTTTGTAGGCTTCTTGTGCGTCAAAAGCTGTTTGACAGGAGCGGGTTTTGGTTTTATTATATGATTATTAAGACAAGCATGTGGCTTTTAAAAGAAAAAGAACAAAACAAAACCCCACACACGTCATGCAATTCCACCCTGTTCTGGTTTTTATTCCAACAGTGCTCCTTGTTTACTTTATTTCACAGATTGCTACAGAATTGTTGAACTTGAGGCCCAAAACTAAGTTACTGTGGCACATAACAGTTGATTTTCTTGGTTTTCCTGTTCAAAAATTCTTTCCCAGAAAATCAATTCCTTGCCCGGTTTAAGTAGTTTTATTTTAAAAAAAATTTTTTTTGTAAAAAAATTTTTTTTGAAAATTCTTTTTTTGGGATTTCATAGCTTTTTGTTGCATGGTGAAAGTGGATGGTGATCTATCATGCCAACATATTGAACAATCATTTGTATATTTAGAAGTCCTGACTGATAAGGGCCAGTGTGCGAACAGACTGGGGGCCCAGACCTTTGCACTGTGGTTATGTGCAAGGCCTCTGAAGCCTTCTGTGTGAGCCTGCTCTGAGTCAGGGGGCCTCCTCCTTCATCAACTCCCTGCATGTGTAGAAACAAGAATCACTTCCATCCTTCAGGCAGCTCTCACGAGGCATTGGCTGTTTTGGGATGTGAATTCCTCAGCTCTACAGAGCTGTTCTAACGCTTGGGACTGCCCTGGCAGCTGAATGTGGCAGGAGACTCCCTGGTGGTCTCTTCTGTTGAACTTGACATTTTTTGAGCTAGTCTGGAGTACCACTTGCATATGGGCTGTTCTTGTTGCAAGAAACAGTCACCCAGCCTGTTCTGGTTTAAACAACAAAAGGGGATTTTAGTCCCTTGTGTACCTGTAAGCCCAGAAGAAGTTAACTCTTAGAGTTAACTTGTTTCTTTGGCTTATTGGTGTTACCAAGGACCTTATTTTTTGTGCCCTTCTGCTCTGCCTTGCATGACTGTTATCTTCATTCTGAAACTACATGGTGGCAAAGCAGTCGCAGTATTCCAGGATACGTTTCATACACCACCCCTCAGGAGGAGACTGGCTGCTTCTAGCCCAGCTTTTCCAGTCACATTCCTGAGCATCTGCCTGGGTAGGCATTGTGAGTCAGGCACTCGCCTCAGACCATTGATGGTGGTCAGGTGACTGGAGTGGATGGGTGGCTTAATGATCTCTTCCCCTATGATTGGGGTTGGATCAGCTTTTTCCAGGGTAGTTCAGGTCTGTGGGACGGGGTGAGTATACAACCATATATGTCTGTTAGAATGAAACGAAAAGAGGCGATGGATGCTGAGGAGGCCACCAGAGATGAGCCCCTCACAGGTTTTGAAAAGGGCTCTCTAATGAGGTGGCTGGATTGATGTTCCCCTTGCCCTTCAACACTGGAAGGCTATTACCACTTGAGGCCTAGGATTCAGGTACATTTAAAACATCTCAGACATTCCAAGGGGTGACAGAGAAGAGATCCAGGAGGCCCTCAGGCATGGTTGAAGTCAATCCACTTGAGTGAAATTTTATTGAACTCTTAGCTTCCAAAGTAATTGAACATTTTATTCCCTTCTGTAAAATGCATTTGAGTTGGATTTGTTTGAATCTAGCATGCTTCTTCTACCCCCTTCTTGGGGAAAGAGGCATAGTCCAGAATATTGGCCTTTTACTTTGAGGAGAGCTCACACATTTGTCTGAAAAGTGTTTGCTCTGTTTGTGGCCTGACAGCGGTCTCTAGATCTGGAATGACTCCAGATATTGATGGAGTCTGTCTAGTGAGATGCGGGAGCTCTGGCAGCCTAGTCCACCGAGAGCTGGGCCTCTTTGTCAGTTTGAATCCAGCACCGGCTCTGTGGGGCCATGGGCAATCTTCCATGCAATCTGCAGCCTTGGAAACTGGCCGGAGGGTCAGCTGTAAGTTGGTTCTGACTGGGTAGCAGTGGGAATTGAATTGAGAGAGTTGTAGTAAGGGCCTCGAGCTGCTCATTGGAGCTGGAGGAAGACCAGGGGAGATGACATAAAAGTTGGGCTCTGAGGTAACCTTCAGGACCAGAGGCTGTTCTGCTTTTGTTCCTCCGTCTTGGCAGCGTGTTCCAGCCGGGAGCAGCTGCAGGCCATGCTGTTTGCTGGAGTGGTCTCTAGGGGTTGGAGCTTGGTCAGCGGCTGGGAAATGCTCACTCGCCATGACATTCCCCAGTGCCGCTCCTCTGTGGG